AATAAATATTTCCCCACCAAGAGAGTTCAGTTGCCTTTTGGAAAAAGCACCTCTGGGACAACCATGACCTGAATGATTCAGAATCTCAATAGACATATATTGAAGAGGAGAGCAATTATGATGTGAAGGGCATCATGTCCTGGAACAATGGGGGAATGCTGAATAAGTTTATCCTGGAGAAATAGCTATTTTCAAGTCTCTCTCTCTCTCAAGGGCTGTCCCATAGGAGACAGGGCAGAACTGTTCAGAGTTGCTCCAGGACACAAGAAACACTAAATTTAGATTACAAAGTAGGTTTCAGCTGACCATCAAGATAATTTTTTTAAGAGATGCTCAACAATGAAACAGGCTGCCCTATGAGGTAGTGGGCTCTCCTTTCCTGGCAGTGTTTAAATAGGGGCTGGACAGACATCTCTCTGGGATGCTATCTGGAGCAGTGGATTCCTGCAGTGGAGAGCAAGTTAAAGTAGAAAAAAAATCATTTCCAACATTTCGATTCTTACGATTCACCAATCGGAAAGACTTCGGTCACACATACTACGATCAATTTTTGAAACTCCACTGATTTTTGCCTATTGAAGTCACTTTGCCTCCCGGCTTCTCCAGCAGCTGATTGGCATGTGTGGACGCCGTTCGGCTTCTGTCCACTTAAACGGGAGCTTGAGATTCACCACCCCTCCTGGAAAGAGCCAGTTCGAGAAAGGAGAAGCCGGCAGTCGGCAGAAGAGGCGGAAAGAGAGCGAAAGGGCTGCTGCTTGCGCGCCCTCTGGTCTCCATCCCCGCTTTCCCATCTTCTGGGGCGGGTACCTGCAAGAGGGCGTTGGAGGAAGCCAGCTTGGCAGTATCCCTGAGCACGTCCTGGGAGCCCATCTTCCCCGGTACCGTCCCGCCATCCTTCGCGCCCATGCAAAACGATTCTCCGTGCGGTCCTTCCGACCTTTTTGCCTTCCCTCGCTGGCTGCCTTGTCAGAGGAGAAGCAGCCAGTGGCTCCTCCCCGTCGCGCTCGGATCCCGTCAGCTGCAGAGGGAGGACGAGAAGGCGGCGGCATTGGCACTTGTTCCACCTAATCCGCTGCCGAAACCGTTGCGCTGCCCTTGCCTTTTTTCTTCACACCTAGAGATTCACACCTGCAAAACCGGGAATCCAGCTGAGAAGGCTCGTGCCGCGGAAGGCGCTCCTTCTCTAAACTGGCCGGTTGTCTTGGGCAGGGGTGTTTTTGCGGCGTTGTTTGCCGCGGTAAGGTGGAGGAGAGGCTGGTTTCCCTAGTCCTTATTCCCCAGTCCTACTTTGTACTGGGAATAAAGATCGGGACTTGGGATGGATTGGCTCTCCACTGAGTTTGAGGCCACTACCTGCTACTGATGTTTTTCTAGTTAGACGGGTTTCTTTGAAATGTCCTATACGCCTAAACGTGGCAAAGGTTAATCTTATGCATACTGCTCCCATACAGCTTAAATGGAAACAGATTTTATTACTCTAGTATTCATGCACATATAAACATGCAGAATAACAGAGTCGGAAGGGACCTTGGAGGTCTTCTAGCCCAACCCTTTGCTTAAGCAGAAGCCCCTATACTTTCAGAAAAGTGGTTGGCCAAATCTTCATAAACACCCCTCCAGTGATGAAGCACACACTACTTCTTAAGGCAAACTATTCCACTGGTTAACTGTTCTCACTGTTAGGAAATGTCTCCTTAATTCTAGGTTGCATCTGTCCTTGATCAGTTTTCACCAAGAAAATTAATCAAACATAAGGAAACATGTGCTTCCTTTACACCAAAGCACTCTGTATCTCCCATCTTTTGACCAAGAAATTCCTTGCTGGTGGAGAATACCTTGGCAGCTTTGATTTGATTCAGGCCACTCTCGGCTGTGGTGATGCAGGACACAAGATTTGGCTCAAAACTTTAGTAGCAAGATCCTGACACAGAACAATTCTCTGTCCTTCAGAGCTTTTGGTGCTACAAATAATATAGCCATGGCAATTGGGAAGTTTCATTTGAGGAAGGTGAAATGAACAGTTCTATGTTCTTCTGTCTAGGAACAGCTCCATGGGAAAGCAATTTTGGGTCCTCAGATCTACTGTGTGTATCACTCCTAGATCAATCCAGTGGTAAATGTAATTTCACCACCTATATTACTATGAACATGAATTAAAAAGTGAATCTTTCATCACTGAATCATTTCCCCTTTGAATTTGATAACTGATACAACACTGTCAAACTACATAAGGAAAAAAGGAAGCTTGAGTGAATCCTTACAACATGCCAAGCCAAAGTAAATAAATCATATTATACCTTAGCACAGTGTATGAACTTCATCTTCCTTCTGCCTCAGTGGGCTTGGGTTGTCCCTTTCAATGGTTGGCCTCTGTGTAAAGGGAGAAGCGGATAATGAACAGTGGAATAGAAAAATGTTTCTTAATTTCTAATGCATAGTGCCCATTACACTAAGCCTTGATTTCTAATTTTTCAACAAGTGGTAAATGTTCCAGGTTTGTCCACCTCACAAATAAGCTTCCAGACTTAATTATTAAGCCATTCACACAATTTGGCTGGAACTAAACTAACAGTGAACACTGATTAACCCTTGATTGTGACCTCATGTATTATGCAGTCATAACTATAAACTTTTTTCTCTTTAGCTAAATCATAAAGTGGTTTGATTTGGTTTAGCTCATGTAAATCCAGACATTGTGGCTTATGAACCATAATTCATGGTTTGGTATGTTGTGAAAATAACACATACTGTATGTAGTCCGTTCAATATATTATGGTTAAACAGTGGCTTAGAATACTGTGTGACCCTCAACTAAAAGTGATTGACATCAGCATCAGCAAGAGATGATGAAACATGTACTGTATTGCAGCATCGCATTGCAAGCCCCAGCTCTTTGTAATTGTGTCCCAGTATCAAGTGAAGGGACATAAATCTCATGGTTTGGGTTGTGATTGTGAGCTGTACATCGGAATCTGGCCTTGAAATTAAGAGACTAAAGAAAATAGGTGGCAATTCTGTAGAAATCTCTATAGAGGTTTTGGGTGAAGGGTGTTCTGCCTATGTAAGAATGAATTGTACTCACAACTGAAATCCAGTGAGAATTCCTTCCCACTTAATCATCCCAACAAACTGGAATTGGCAACATGGGAATTCCACACCCATTAAAAGTCATGGTTGGCTATGTGGAGGACCACACATCACAGAAA